CAGTGTGAACGTAGCCTTAGAGATAGGGTGATGAATTTGGGAGAGGCTCAAAGTAGAGCTGCTACTCTTCCACATCAAAAGGAGCCAGTTGAGGTGGTTCGGGCATCTGACAAGGACAGAACACCTCCTGGGCGAGGTGTTCCGGGCATGGGGCAGACCTAGGACCCGCAAAATCTCTCAGCTGGCCTGGGACGCCTTGGTGTTCCCCACCACCAAGCTAAGCCACTACCTCCTAAGCTATGCTAATGACAAAGAACGACCTCCTTACTCCAAGGAGTTTTCATTGTGCCAGAATAGAAGACCATGCACTACTTCTTGCATTTCAGCTCAGACATTTTCCAGTATTATTAGTTTCATATGATAGACACCATATTTATGGTGTTTACACTTGTTTGTGAAGCTATGTGAAACATTCACTATTGTTTTGTGATAACAAAATTTATATTTTATTTTAAATGAATAACCTTTGGCATATTTAAGTTAAGCTACCCTGTGGCTTCAACAGGTCAGTGTATTTTTCTCTCTTTAACCCATCTTACAAACTTGTGTCATTTTTCTGAAGATAGCTGAGACTTGTTTGAATCTTGAGGTACTTTCATTTTAATTTATAAACACAAAAATTGTACTCAATAGTACTCGAAAAATATGGCAAAAATAGTACTTTATTTTTTTTAGTACTTTAGTTATACAAAATACAACTAGTTACTACATGGATTAATCATCCATTTGCTTCTGCTTATCCTTTTTAAGGGTCGGGGGGGTGCTGGAGCCTTTCCCAGCTGTCTTAGGGCGAGAGACAGGGTATACCCTGGACAGGTCGCCAGTCTGTCGCAGGGCTAACACATATGCACAGACCACCATTCGCACTCAAATGCACTCCCACATTCACGCCTATGGGCAATTTAGAGTTTCCGATTAGCCTATCCCCACTAACTGCATGTCTTTGCAGTGTGGGAGAAAACTGGAGGACCCACGGAGAACCCACGCAAACATGGGGAGAACATGCAAACTCCACACAGAAAGACCCCGATCCAATGGTGGAATTGAACTCAATATTCAATTCAATTCAATTTTATTTATATAGTGCCAAATCACAACAACTGTCAGCACAAGGCCCCTAATATTTTAAGGTAAAGACCCACAATTAGATGACTCCCATGATACTTTAATTTTAGATTTATTGTGGTGACAGAAATTTTTAATTCAAGAGTGTGAAAAGATTTTACAGATGAAAAATTCAAAATACCAACAATTTTCTCCACATTCTCACTTTTTATTCTACAAGCTCTCACATTTTACAGTACTATCACGTCTTTAAGATAAGATGGGGGCCTGATTATTGAAGACCTTGCATGTGAGAAGTATTTCAAGTTATTAAATAAACTTAAACTTTCTAAATGAAATAAACACATACTTATTTACTTGCTTACTCAGATGACATTTTACACAGACACAGATACTAGGTCTGTCTCTCTCTCTCTCTCTCTCTCTCTCAAACCCACACCTTCACCCCACCCTTTGGCCAGGTTGGGTTACACACATTACACAAGTGATACAGCCTCAGATATCACACTCTTCATAAATTATTATTGCAGAGCCTGTGAGACGTAGGGAGTATGTGGAATTAGCCAGGTAGTTGACAAGTGAAGTGGTCAGCGTGGATGGAGCAGCAGAATCAGGATGGATATTTCTGCTTTGCCCAACAATAACCACCCAGAGAAATTCCTCCAGCTAGACGTTGGGATGCTGCCAGCCACACACAGGATGTTCCAGGTTGGGGCAGTAATGTCCAGTCAGAAACAATGGCAGAACAGGATTTACTCTCAGGTATGATCTTTGTGACAGTAGTTTGAAATAGCAGAGCAGGAGAGCACAGCATTGTTGTGTCATACTTGGCTTACAAGACACCAAAAACATGAACAAACATTAAGTTATAACATTATAATACAAATGTCTTTTGTTTTTAGCTCTTTAAATTCTCAGTGGAGCTTTTTGACAATAAAGCTGACTTTGACTTTGAATTTGAAAGACAACAAACAGCTCCATGTTGAGCATGCATGAGTTTTGGTGGTATGTTTAACACACCTGGGACTGCTTTTTTTTTTTTTTTTTTTTAAATCTTGTTAATAATTTTACTTCCTCACTGTGGATCGTTCCTCTGAAAAAGAAAGCCTTTAATTACATGACTCCCTGGTTTAGGCTATCTAACCAGTGTAGCCTGCAGCTCCATAGAAAATGTTAAAGCTGGATGGATTGAGAATTCTCCTCTGTCTCCACAGAGGGAGCCAAGGGTAACAACCAAAAGCAGTTCTGTGCCACACCCGGACTGGAGTCCTGTGGTGTTTGTGGACAGATACTTGGAGAAGCACATCACTCCATCCACTCTGAAGACACGCATCAGACAGAACCCTCTGTACATGGATGTAAAATCTGTGATTGAGCAGAATGAGACATCACACCC